AAATCCGACAGCAGTAGAAATGTAACTCTTGGAAGCAGCGGAAGTTCCAGAATCATGTTTCTTCGATTGATTGTCATCGGAAGAAGCCATCAGAAATATTCAATGAAAAAAGACATTGATTCTTATATCTTAGATGATATCAGTGTTGGCTCTGATACCATAATAAAAGGTTTAAAGAATAATTCTGATATTTTATTTCAAAGAGTAGAGTACCATATATATACATTTAAGGATCCTATAATCCTTCATCTATTAAAGGAATGACAGGTGCACAAATCTGCACAAATTATAATAATATCTAAATTATAACTAACATAATATTTGATTGTCTAATATCCTTTAATAAAATATTTGGCATATCTTAACACATTTTTCTCACAAAAACTAACAACACAACTTTTCCTTAAGAAAAGAGTAAAAAGGGTTTCAAAGTAACTTTTTAATCCGCGTCTTAAACTTTATTAGCGAAACGCAATGTGAAACATATAGAACATAGAAATCAGATAGGTTATTTGTGTCCTCCAACGACAACTTTTGGTCTTACTTTCTCGACAACTACTTTTAATGAAAACAATTTAACTGCAAAACAAATGATAAAATACAAGATATAATAGATCAGAGTCTGTTTCGAAATTTTATTTCATAAAGAATTACAAGAGAAAAAAATATTTAATTAGCTCATAAAAAATCTAAAAATAAAATTTTAAAAAAGTTGTACTAGAGAATTTCACATAAGTTAATTTTAATAACTTATAGGAAAAATAATTTTAATTTTTCTTTTTAAAAAATATTTGTAAAGAAGTTCAAGTAACCATATAATTAATAACAATTTTAAAGTTTGAAAGCTGTTTAACATATGAACACTATTTTTATTACAAAAACTATGTTTTATTTATACTACTATTTATTTTATCTTATATTTTTCTCATTTTATACAACAACTTGTTATAAGAAGTGTAGAGAGAGGATACATCACTTGCTCTTGGTTTGGAGAGAAACTAAACTTAAAAGTGACAGATGAATTTCATGTAGCTAAGAAAGTAACATGTTCTTGGGTTGTTGCTACAGAAGAAAAATCAAAGCAGAGATAGATCTTAGAAATGATCTGAAAAAGGTGAAAAAGATGTTCCATTTCGTTGAGGATAAGCATAATTTCGATTCAGAAGACACCATGACAACCAAAAGCAATCAACAACATCAGTAGTTACTGTCATTTGATGTCATCCAGATTTGATGTTTGCTGTTGCCAAAGTAAGACCTTTGCTGCTTAAAATTTCAAAAGCGACATGCTCTGCTCGTAAGCTATATTAATCATTCAAAATTAATTCAACTTAACGATTAAGGATGCTTTGTTGATTCATCGTAAATAAAACTGTGGTCGTTTGTTGATTGATGAAAAGATGCATACTTCTCCATAATGCCCCTGTCTCTGCATTATTACTCAACAACTTTTGCACTCTCAGACATATCATATCACCATATATACCAGCCATGATTTGCTACAATACTATTATTTTCCACATCAAAATGTTGTACTTGTAATTATACTTACAATATATTTATTATACTTCTAATTCCGAAGAAACATAATTGTTCAAGGCCAAAGGCATAAGAAGCAAGAGTCTATTTTTCATTCTCTTTATATTACTTTTTTTCTTAATAATACGTTGGTTGAAGCTAGCTGTGACCTGTCAAATTAAGTAATTTCCATTTAGTTAGAAGATGCTTGATAAAACATTGGAACTTGGAAGTTTCTATCTGTTAAAACCAGACCAGAGTTTGTTTGGTCGTATAAGTTGATGGATTTTGGAATGTATTTCTTCCTTTTCGTCGTAGGCATAACATGTGCAATCATTATTTTTCCTAACGAACAAACAATTGAAGGGTTTATTTATCCTAATCCACACATCACCAACTCCAACCCAACTAAACCGTTTTTGGTATCTATTTATTGCCATCAGTGTGCGTAATAATTAGGAACTCAATAAATAAACTACAATCTTTAGTAGTAAAATTTAGTCTTTAATCATGATGCTAAGAAGAATGAAAAGCTAAACCTAAAAAGAACACTAAAGCAAAGATCATTTAAGGATGTTATTAATTTGTATTACCAAAATTTCTAACAGGTTTGAATCCCAAATTGACTTCTTCTTATCATAATAATCACATCCAAGTGGCTATAACTTCACTTTCAATCTATGGCATAGTTTCCATTGTTGAAATGTGACAAAACACCTGTAGCCATCCAATAAGACCACCACACACATTTCTTCAAACTCACCTTAACTTCATTTACTCACTCTCTCTCTCTCTCTCACTCTCACTCTCTCACACCCACTCGGTTCCTTCTTCCCTCTTCCCTCTTCCCTCTTCCCTCTTCCCTCTTCCCTCTTCAACCCCATTTTCTTTTTCTTTTCTTTTCTTTTTCATCCAAACATGTCCTCAGCAACATCATCCAATCTCATCTTCTTCTCAATATTACTCCTTTCTTTTGCAACAACAACAAAATCCGACAACCCACCGTGCCCGTATCCGTGTTACCCACCACCCACCGGAGTCGTCACTCCCACAACCCCTTCAGTTGGCGGTGGTTCCACCGTTACACCGGCACCACCTCAACCCGTCTTAACATATCCGCCACCTTCCGGCTCCTACCCTTATTACCCAACACCGCCTTACGGCGGCGGGGGCGACAACAGCGGCGACGGAGGTGGTGTTTTTGCCACCCCGCCACCCCCTGACCCTATTCTTCCCTACTTTCCGTTCTACTACAAGAATCCACCCAACAAGCCAAAAGACAACTCAGCACCGACCAGTTGGAAG